AAAGCCAGCTGGATGACCTTGGGCCAGTCACTCTCTCTCAGCCCTACGAAGGAGGCAATGGCAAACATTTCTGAAAAACTGTGCCAAGAAAATTGCAGGGACTTGTCCAGGTAGTCACCAGGAGTCAAACACTGACTTGAAGGCATATATACATATACACACATAGACAAACACAAAGGACCATCAAAATTGATGAGATTTAAGCTTGCCAGGATTAAGTCAAATATGATAGGTTTCAAATTATAGGTATTACTGAGTCTAGATCCACATCATTCATAACAAACTGGTGCTTGCTGCTCTTTGAGAAGTCCAAAGCATACATGTGGCTTCTTAATGGACCCCTGGTGAACTCTGTATTATGAGTGTGTACATCAGCTCCAGCTTCAAAAGATTTTGGAAAGAAATTCAATTTGATTTGGCGTTTTGGTTAAAAGAAAGGCTTTTGTGTATCTGTCAATGTCCTTTCCAGTCCTCAACGTGCTTTGAAACCATTATGAGTTATTCTGATGGACCGGTCTGAAACACTAAATTGATTCTGACTTTTTTTCCCTTGAAACTCAAAACCATTATTCATGTTCCTAATTACTAACCCCTAATTCAAGGAGGTCTTGACATTCTTCTCTCTGATATCCCTTCAGTCGTTGATGAGCGCTATTACGTTCACTTGCAAGGTCACTGTGAGCAATCAGCGAGGCATCTGTTGGATAAAGTAGCTGAGACTCACTCCACGTTGGACTCTGGCCTTGAAGCAGGTCCTAGGACCTAACATGATCGAGGGGCTGGGGCACCTGCCCTATAAGGAAGGGCTGCAACATTTGACGGTGAATGATATGCCTAAAGTTGATAGAGAGATGAGTTATTTGGGGAAGTGGATGACTTTTCCCAAAAGGTATTTGCTACCTGCCATTGTAAAAATCAAGCATTGGAACTGTTCCCTCAAAATGATTTCCACCCCACCGATAATTGCATTAGCCAAAGGCTATGGCAAAGCACTTCAGTAACTTTTTGCTCTATGCTGTATTTACGAGGGACGCATGTATCTCTGTTGCTGCCAACTGCTGTTGTTGAATAAGCTGCCCTTGCCTGATTTCATATATAAAACATAGACAAATAATGATGAGAGAGAAGTCTATTTGATGTCTCTGCCTCATGAAGAAGAATTTCTGAGATTCAGGAAGAAAATATGCAAGCTGTGAGGCTCTTTTAGGAGGAAGGAGATAGTAAGTGGCCAGAATGAGAATATCAAACAATGACCAGCAGCTATTACCTGATTCTGATATGTTGGTTATTGAATCTTCCCAATGGTCCAAGAATTTTATTTTCTCCTTTTCATGCTGTCTGTTACACACACTCACACACACACACACACACACGCACACAGGCACACAATCAGAGGCAGGCTGATGCCATCTTTTTATAGCATTAAATAATAAGCCAATCTTTCATTGTAAAGACTTTATTTGTTTTCGACAGTAACACTATTGTGAGAAGTAAATTTTAGGCAAGAAATCAAATTAGTTGTCCTTGGCATTAGAAAGTTGACACGTAACAAGAAAGCAGCAACCAAGGGTGCCTGGGGATATTTGGACTTTATCTCCAGCATTCTTCCATTGGGAAAGCTGAAAGAAAGTAGGAACAATCTGTTACTTCCAGCAGCAAAGAGTACACTTAGATAGGCTCAGCCACAAAAAGTATTAGGAAAATACTTTGCAGGTAAAGATCTAATGAACAATTCACACAGTTATGAATTGTGAACACCAAAGGAATAAAGGTTAGCCCTTTTCATTTTTTAAACCAGAGAAGGTAAACCTCGGTTATCAAAAATTGAGGGAGAAGAATTCAGGAGGAGGGAGAGAGGTTATGAATTTTGAGAGAGAGATTCTGGAAGAAAGGCGTCATTGCTACTTTTTATATGATCCCTCTTTTTTGTGGGGAGCGGGGAATAACAATGCCAATGGCAATAAGAGCAACACTGTATGAGAGTCTTTGTGTTCCAGAGCAGAAATTATCAACATGAATTGTGGCAGCTTGATAGCTGAATAATTCCCCATGCCTATTTCTCATGGTCTGCTATCAGTACACAGAGGCAGATGGAAATACCAATTTAGATTAAGGGACTTGAGGAATATAGAAAATAAAATAGTCCACCCTGGATTTTTCAAAAGAAAGGAGGAATTCTTTGAAGAGGCTGAGGATTCACTTTATACTAGGCTAAGGAATACCATGACTGGATTTATTTCATCCATTGGTATCTTCAGTGCAAGTGGGTTTCCTATCCCATTCCTTTTCAGGAAACACCAGCACAAAAATCACTGAAACATTGATGGACAAATGATATCTCCATATTAGCTCACCTGAGATAGTTATATGCCTTTAAGACCGTCCTGGATACTCTTAAGCAGTGGCTCACCCTGAAATTGAAAATATATATTCTGAGACTTTGTGGACAAAGTAGATCACACACATCTCCAAGCTGCTGAATAATTCAACTGTGCTCTTCCTAGCAATCTTTATTCTGAACAATACAGTTGGCCTGTTGGTGCACCTGAACTCCTCCATTCTCAGTTTCATTCCAGTTGTAAACAAAAATATGGAAAATACTGGACACTGCAATTCTCTAATTCAAGAGACACAAATATATTGCAGTTCTGGTTCTTTAATATATAAGTGGCCATGACAGTAGAAAAGGCTTACTAATTACAAGTATGACTTGCAGTTATGTGTCCTAATGTTGGTGCTTTTAGCTCTACCTATCAATTCTGGTTTTCACTATAGTAATCTTATATTTTTTTACATTTTTTACTGCTGTAAGCCATCCTGATTCCTGGAAAAGCAGAGTCAGTCCATAAATTATATAATAACAATAACCATAACAATATTAATGTTGGCCTCATCCCCCTAACCCTAACCCCATCACCCTTAAATATACATGCCTCCCTTTCTCAAGACATGGATGCCTCTTGGTACTTGATGAAAAATGGATGGATGGATGGATGGATGGATGGATGGATGGATGGATGGATGAGAGATACAATTCTAAGAGAGCATATGCAGAATACCAGATCTAATATTGTGCTGCACAGTAGAAAGAGGAAGTTTAGGGTTGGAATCATTGTATCTATTCCCATCCCTTTCACATATGGCCATGCCAAGTGGGAACTGCAGGAGTAGAAGCTTACTACC